GGAGTGGGAGTACCCACACTTTACCCAACCATACGCGATCTGCCCGATCACAGATTAACAGCGCTGTACCTATACGAAAATAATGAAAAATTTGTTTGAACTTTTTTCATTTCATGTATTAGGTATAACCCTATGAGCCAGGCGGTTCTTCGCTCGGGTGCAACCGCAACAAACAGAAAACATGAACAAGAAAACATCTTAAAGTGACTACACGCAACAGAAAAATCCAGGCAAAAACAGCAAATTCTTCTAGAAAAAACACCGTATTTCAACGCTGTGTGCAAAAATCTCAGCGAGAAAAAAAATTATGCCACCACTGAGCTGTACAGCTCTTTTTCAGAAGCAACCTGACTATCACAAATGATAGCTCAACGAAGTGGCTTACAATTACTGGGACATTTATAGCAGCAGCCACATACTCGAAACGCACGTTGGTTCTAAATATGGAGGGAAAAACCGGAGGACCCGGAAGAAAAAAATCCACGCAACCACGGGGAGAGAGAGACACCGCAAACTCCAAATATACAGCAGCAGACGTCAGGGTCGGGATCAAACCCACGACCTCCTGTATACCAGGCGAGGTAGTTAACATCTCCTAGCCACCGTGATGATGATAAGAGAGAGACCACAAACTCCAAATATACAGCAGCAGACGTCAGGGTCGGAATCAAACCCACGACCTCCTGTATACCAGGCGAGGTAGTTAACATCTCCTAGCCACCGTGATGATGATAAGAGAGAGAGAGAGAGACCACAAACCCAAATATACAGCAGCAGACGTCAGGGTCGGGATCAAACCCACGACCTCCTGTATACCAGGCGAGGTAGTTAACATCTCACCACCGTGGCGCCCACATGCTTAGGCAAGTGGGCTTGCTGGTCGAATTCAGAATTAACGTCTCTCATTATAATAATATTAATTTCAACTGCCGCGCCGGGAAATAGATTTGAATCGGCGCACTTCGGATTGCAAGTCCCGTGTGCCGCTTGCTCAACGTTACAATCCACCACAGTGGATAGCGTACGTGCCTTGCGGCACAAAGCCGGTTAATTTTACCCGGGCCCTGCCATGGGTAGTAAAGATGATGCCATTAGGGCTGCATGTGGCCCAGGCGCCGCTGGGCGCACGCGCGCGTGTGCGTGTGTGTTGTGTTTATATTTAGCCGGGCGTGGCGAGGCGGTGAGTGCCTTTGATTCAGCGCTTCGGAGACATGGGCGGGTGGGGGAGGGAGGGATAACGTCACGAGATTTTGCGAGAACTCCCTAACACCTTTGCTGCGACAGTGCAGCAAGCCGGCTCGTGTTAATTAGTCGCGAGTGGCATCCCCGCGTAATGTGTAATGTATCGCGTGCGTGGTGGGATTTCTCCGGGTACTCCGATCCTCCCCCACCCCACGGGAAGCACGGGTCAAGGCGCAGCACTGCAATTGCTTTGCTAGTGTCACTGTTGGCGGGAGAGCCTTCGCTAGAGGGAGTTCTAAAGAGCGCCTTTACAAGAGTCGGTATTTGTTTCGATTTAAAGCTTTCGTGACTGCAGGGATTCATCTTCTTGGTTCTTTCGGTAAAGTCACGTAGAAGGGAAATAATAAAATAATAAAAATAAAACATTATAAAATACAATTCTCACGACGTTTCGGCCACAACGCAAGCAGCCGTCCTTGCGTTGTGGCCGAAACGTGAGAATTGTATTTTATTATGTTTTATTTTTATTATTTTATTATTTCCCTTCTACGTGACTTTACCAAAAGAACCAAGAAGTCGGTATTTGGCCTAATCTTCCACGAATGACAGCGGAACACTCGATAATTAAAAAATGAGATGGTTGTTACTGCTGCGTTGACAGTAGTGAATATTGATGTAGTGCTATGAAGAAGTGGCATTGCCCGAAACATCGCGTATTTGAAAGCCACGTCGTGTTCTTGACGAATGTGTCGATTATTTGAAAATAGATTTGGCCCAACACCCCAATACCATAGGGCCCTCCTAAAATGGAGACTTTGAGACTCACCGATACGTTCTTGAATAAGTAAAGATACTCATCATCAGCAGCCGCAGCAGCAGCATCATCATCACTGATGGAATTGGTCAAACAACTGCGTGTAGCAGCAACCTCCTGAACACGATGAGCCTTGAGGCACAGCATTGCCATTGCCTTCTGGAAACGACAATCGATGCGGCAGCGGTGTTCATGTCACGGCGTGGTGATGTGGAGATGTGGAGGTCGACGCGGGGGGGGGGGAAGTGCAGGGGAGGGGGGTCGGGGGAGGAGTTGAGGAGTGGGGGCAGGGGGCGCGTGACCTTGCTATAGGGTCACAGAAGAGACAACGGATGAGAGGGAGAGTGGGAGGAAGGGTTGGGGTCATTTAGGGAGATGAGGATGGGGAGTGGGGGGAAGGGTGGGAGGCAAATGGAGGGAGGTGACAGAGGTGATGATGGAGGTGACGGTGGGAAGTAATGGAAGGGAGGGGGAAATGGGTGACGAAGGGAGAGAGGTGACGGAGGAAGAGATGAAGGAGGGAGGGATCTCAGCAGGGAGGAAGATGATAGAGGATGGGGATGGAACGAGAGATGTGATGGAGGGAGGGGAGGGAGGGAGGGGTACTCGATGCGAACGAAGCAAGTAGAGCCGCGATGGATGGAGGGGAGGTGATGGAAGAGAGAGGGGGGAGGGAGGGGAGGTGATGGAGGAGAGAGGGGGAGGGAGGAGGTGATGGAGGAGAGAGGGGGGGGAGGGAGGGAGGGGAGGTGATGGAGGAGAGAGGGGGGGAGGGAGGGAGGAGGGGAGGTGATGGAGGAGAGAGAGGGGGGAGGGAGGGGAGGTGATGGAGGAGAGAGGGGGGGGAGGGAGGGAGGAGGGGAGGTGATGGAGGAGAGAGGGGGGGGAGGGAGGGAGGAGGGGAGGTGATGGAGGAGAGAGGGGGGAGGGGAGGTGATGGAGGAGAGAGGGGGGGGAGGGAGGGAGGAGGGGAGGTGATGGAGGAGAGAGGGGGGGAGGGAGGGAAGAGGGGAGGCGATGGAGGGAGGGAGCGAGACAGTGAGTATAGGGAACTCGGTCGTCCTACAGCTCCGCTGCTCAATGAGACTGAGACATTCCCCAAATGGTCCAGAATCTCCTAAGCTAAGCAGGTTAGTAATAGGATGGGCGACAACCACCAGCACCACCAGCAGTGCTTGCCAGGTGTTGTAGCACTTTGGCGGCTGGAGAACGCGGCGCCGTGATTTGGTGCGATCAGCGGAGAGATGTGGTCCTGATCACTTGGATGGATCGAGTCCGTGGAATGAATCCATCTGTGCGGAGATGCGAGTGCTGTGTCTTTGCTATGCGCGGTGGGTGTTCTCCGTGTGCTCCGGTTTGCATGGACGACCACCGCCACGACCACGACTATCATCAGCAGCATCAGCAGTAGCATCAGCAGCAGCAGGGCTTGCCAGGTGTTGTAGGCGTGGGGACAGACAGTGCGGTAAGTTTAACACGTAGGAGGCTTTCGGGGCAAATAGCTTCCACAATACAGGTTTTTTTTGGGTTAGATTGCGTAAATGTATAAATGTGTCGTTAAACCCGCCACCACCCGACACGGCCAATTAGTAAAGTCTGTCCCGTAAACAGAAGGTGCCAATTCGTTACCAGTGTAATGACAGGGTGACACCTGCTGGCCTGGAAGGGTAACCACGGGTAATGGGCAAGGTTATGCAACAACTAATCAGAAGGGGGCGCATCTGGGTTACATGTAAAAGGTGGGGTTAGTCGGGAAGCTCCGGGAACATGCTCGAAGGTTCTGGAAGGGGGCGTGACCAGAGGCGAGGCCTGGCCACGTCGAGATGAGACATATATATACATCGGCCTGTGTTGTGCCCAGTGTGAGAAATAAATAAGAAGAAGCCCTCTCCACGAGGCTCATTACACTAATTCTAGATTTGAAGCTTTCGTGACTGCAAGCATTCATATTCTTAGGTTTTTTCGGTAAAGTCACGTAGGTAAAAAAAAATCTAAATTAATAAAAGTAAAATAAAATACAAATCACGACGTTTCGGAGGCAACACAAGCTTCCGTCTAGTACGGCACACCCGGTGTGTTGGAGAGCCAAGCCACAACATCCACAATCCGAGTACGACGTTTGGCCAGTAATTGCAACCAGCATCATCAGGCGACAGCCACATTTGTGGAGAAGTCCACCCATCTTGTTCCTAAACGGAGGCGCAGACGCGGTGAGACCGGCAGGTGGCGGAGCATCTCCCCCTCGTGGACGGCTGCGTTGCTGGGCTGTCTCGGGGTTTCTCCCCGTTGCCTCCTCCTCCACACACGAAGCCAAAACTCTCATCGCCAAACCACGGAATTCACGGCGGCGCAAACATCCCAGCGGAGTGGCAGCAGCAGCAGCACGACCCTCCTGACAACGGGTATTGAGAGTCAGCAAGGATGTCCTTCGGTTTATTTATTTATTTATTATGAATTGTATAGGACCACTCCTCATCGGGTTCGTCTCCTACACGTCTCATCAGCAGCTCGTACAGCCGGTTAAACAAATGCCGTTGTAGAGGTCGCGCGCGTAAGGCGAGTCGTACAGGAGTGCGACATCAGCAGCAGTCGCAGCAGTATAATCATCAGCGGTAGCAGAAGCAGCATAACCAGAAGCATTACCATCAGCAGCAGCATCAGCATGAGCAGCGTCGCCGCCTCTCTCCCATACTCACCACCTCTCCCCTCCCTCCCTCCCTCATCCTCCTCCCTCCCTCATCCTCCTCCCTCCCTCATCCTCCACCCTCCCTCCCTCATCCTCCTCCCTCCCTCATCCTCCTCTCTACCTCCCTCCCTCCACCTTACTCAACCCCTCTCCCCCACCGACCTCCCACCGACTTCCCCGTCTCCCCCACCGCCTCCCCCTCCCCGTCCATCCCTGCTGCTCGCTTTCCGCTCGCTTCGAGGCTGTCGCATGGAGCAAGAGGCTCACAGCTGGCAGAGCCGGTGGGCAATGGGGAGGGAAGGGCTGGGCTCTCGCAACAGCAACAGAAGCAGCAGCATCAGCAGCATCAGCATCAGCAGCAGCATCCTCATCAGCAGCATCAGCAGCAGCAGCATCAGCAACAGAATAATCATCACCACCATCGGCGGCAGGAGTATTGTATTATCATCATCATTCACATCACAAGTGAGAAAATCGGCGGAGTAAGCAGAATCAGCAGTAGCAGCTGCAGTGTTGGGACGGAGCGCTGCAGTAGCGTTCACATTATCTTCGTGATTATTATGACTATCTTCAGCAGAAGCAGCAGCGTCATCGTCACACTTCATCATCATTAGCAGCAGTGGCAGTCGTCGCTTTAGCGCTGAAGTCCCAATATCATATTTCCCATAATCTTAGGAATTTTTTATTCTACAATAATTATCATCAGCAGCAGCAGCGTCATCATTACCCTTATACTTCACCATCGTCATCAGCAGAATCCAATTCGTCTTCGCCTATTTATCATCGCCATCCCTCCCGCACCACCATCATCAGCACCGTTAACATCATCGCCATCCATCTCCTCCTCCACCATCGTTATCTGCAGCCTCACCCTCCTCCTCCTTCACCTCCACCCTCTACTACCCTTATCCTCCACCTTCACCACCACTTCTGCCTTTCACCACCGTTACCACCACTCTCAACCACCACTACCCTCACCACCTCTATCCTCTCCACCACCACCACCACCACCACAAACACCATCCTCACCTTCAATACCACCCTCACCATCACGACCGTCGCCACCGTCACCACCAACAGACAAAAATCCCCCCTCCGCCCCCGTATAAAAATAGCCTCAACAGACTGTTGGGAGGGGGGGCACGTGCCGTGTATAGCGAGCATCATCACCCACCCTCGACCCACCTCGTTCTTCCCGCGCGATGCTGGGCGCTCTGCTGCACGCCGCTCTGCAGCGGTGCCTCTACCGCCTCGGACTCCTCGTGGCCGGCCACCCGGCGCCGTTCCTTGTGGCACCCGCTCTGCTCGCCGCTCTGCTCGGCGCCGCCCTGAGCCGCGTCTCTGTCGAGAGCAAAGCTGAGGCTCTGTTCGCGCCCGCTCACAGTCTCGCCAAGCTGGAGGGCGCCCTGGCCGACGAGCTGTTCCCGCTGGAACGATCTCGCCAGCGGCTCTACTCGGAGCTGCACACGCCGGGTCGATACACACGGCTCATCGCGGTGGCGCGCGGAGGAGGCAACGTGTTGGACGAGGGTCGACGCCTCGCACTCATCTCCCTGCACTCGGCTCTGGTCACCATGCCCGTGGGACGCAACTGCACCTTCTGGGACGTCTGCTCGATCGACTGGGACCGCGAATGTGTCCAAGATGCCATCGTGGAACTCATGGGCGGACTTGGAAGAAGACGAGGAGGAGGAGGAGGCAATGGCAGCAGCAGCGCTAGCGACGCGTCACGCCGCCGTTCCTCCATCATCATCCGCTACCCCAAAGCGCGACTGCACGACAATCAGGAGGTCTACATCGGGCATCAGCTGGGCGGAGTGACCCTCTTCCAGACCGACCGCGTGCTCTCCGCGCGGGCCCTGCAGATCACCTACTACCTCGACTCGGCTCACGCGGCCTCCGAGCTCTGGGAGAGGGAATTCATGACGGCCGTGGAGAGCGCTCGACACAGGCACGCGCACGACTTGGCACTCTTCCCCTTCACCTCCTCGTCTCTCCAGACCGACTTCTACCAGAGTGGAGTCGTGGCCGCACCGAATCTCGCCGGCGGATTCGCTCTGGCCATGGTGGTCGGCCCGCTGCTGGTGGTGGCGACGGCGACGATGGTGGGAAGAGGTGGAGGAGGAGGTGGTGGAGGAGGTGGTGGCGGTGGAGGAGGATGTGGAGGGTGGTGGGCGACATTGAAGAACAGCAGAGGCAGGACACGCTCGGAAGATCTGTGTTTCGGGCTGCTGCTGTTGGCTGGGTTCGTGAGCATCGCTCTGACCACGCTGGCTACGGCTGGAGTCATGACTCTCGCCGGGACACCCTACAACTCCACGCTCATCATCGTCCCCCTCGTGGCGCTGGGTAAAGTAGAAACACCGGCGACGAACTCACAATCCGTGATGAATTTTTGCTGATGGCATCGCAGTCGACGACACTGCGTGCGACGCGGTTTGAGTAAATTGCCGCTGCTATATGGACACCTAAACGTGATGATGGTTTTGATGATTCATAATTATTATTTTGTTCTGGTTAGACCATCCATCCCGTAATGATCTGGCCAGATTTGTGTCATCTCGCCCTCCCCCCATTACCCCCCCTCATGACCCCCCCCATACCCCCCCCAGACCCCCCCCCATTACCGACAGTGAAGCCTTCATCCAGCAGTGGATTGACTATACGTTTCGAGAAGCCTCCGTCGTGACGAAACTAACTTTTAATTGACACCCGCAGCACTCTGGCGACGTCACTGCAGGCGGCGTTCCGTCCAGAAGCGAATTGAACAAATCTCTCTCTCGCTCTCGGCGAACTGAACGCTACAATGTGCTCACTATGACGTCGAAGGGCCATTGCCCGAAACGTCGCTTAAAACGTATTTTGTTTTTAGATCCTTTATATTAAGTTCACTTACGTGCTTGCTTGTTTGCTTACGACCGTGCAAATCTTTCGGTCGTTTTTTAACCCACTTCCCGTGATCCAATCGAGCTGACATTTTCCACACAGACTCGTTGTGCGAGACAATTAATGTTCGTGAAAAACTTTTTTTCAAAAATTTTACACTGTTTATGGAAAACAAATTAAATATGTAATTACCAATTGCTTAATACTGGCAGACAATCATCTGACCCATAGGTGGCAGCCATCTCAAGCCAGAGGACGAGAGGACTCTAGCCGCCACGCATATAAAGGATTTATAGTGAAAAACTTTGTTTTTACGGGTTATACTTATTTTGAAGCCCCCGATCACAGTGTTGTTGACGCACGCGTTGAGATCGTTCGTCGCTCATTGTGCATGGCCATCACTGCCAACGTAGCATCACCAGATGATTAGCACGGTTGGCTACGTACGGTGCGAAAGAAGTTCAACGTACATACGCACGCACGCTGTATGCGATGCGGATATGCTCCGGTGATTTCCTAGCAAGGGCAGTCAGCCCTTTGCCAATCCACTGCTGGATGGACGATGTGTCGGTCGTGGAGATTGTTTGACCATACTTCACCACTCTGGTCGGTGAAGAGGCGGGGGGCAGGTTTGGTTCAGACATCACTCGCCACCGATGGGGAGGTAGGGAGGGAGCAAGCGGTGTGAATTAGTGACGGGGTGAGAGGGTGGATGTGTGGGTGAAAGGGTGGATGTGTGGATGAAAGGGTGGATGTGTGAGTGAGCGGATGGGTGAGCGTTTGAGTGGGTGATGGGAGGGTTGTGTGGGTGAGTTAGGAGGCAGAGTGGGGTTGTTCGCATTCATTTGGGTAAAATCGCTTGAATATTAAAACACGGGATATTGTTATTTCCACCCTGAGCCGTATGGGAAAAGTGAAAAAAAAATTGGCCAGACATTTCCAATGGAGCAGGACCCTCTTGAAACTGAGTATTGAGACTCACCGATGCTTTTGTGGATAGTTGGCATTATTACGATGATTGTTCCAACACGGACATAGATACCGATCTCGCGAATGGCAGTACGCGCGGCCAATGAATTGAGTTTAGAATCCACTCACACGCACGCGCTGTGTGCACGCAGGGATCTACCCAGCACCGCGGTGGTTCATTACTCACAGTGGACATTAATAGCGCAGAGATGTGAGTGGAATAACGCAAAAGCCTCGCTCCCACATCGCGTAATTAGACCATGAAACATTCAGACGCGAGTCGTGGCTCACGGAGACTGGGGTGGGCGTGTGGCTGAGTGGGTGAGTGAGTGAGTGAGTGGATGGGTGATGTGAGTGAGTGCATGAGTGGGTGAGTGAGTGAGTGGGTGAGTGAGTGGATGAGTGAGTGGATGGGTGAGTGAGTGGCTGCGTGGGTGGGTGAGTGAGTGGATGAGTGAGTGGATGGGTGAGGTGAGTGAGTGAGTGGATGGGTGGGTGAGTGAGTGATTGAGTGGGTGAGTGAGTGGATGGGTGAGTGAGTGGATGGGTGAGTGAGTGAGTGGCTGAGTGAATGAGTGAGTGGAATTGTGTATGAATGGGAGATTGTGTGGATGGGCGAGTGGGTGGAAATGTGCGTTGGTGGGTGAGTAGGCGAGTGAGTGGATCATTGAGTGAGTTGGTGAATAAATGAGTGGGTGAGCAAGTGGGGTGGATGTGTGAGTGAGTGGATGGGTGAGTGTTTGCGTGAGGGTGGGTGAATGGGTAAAGAGGATTGATGTGCGTGTGGGTGATTGAGTAGGCGAGTGGTGTTGTGTCCGCATTAATTTGCGTAAAATCTCATGAATATTAAACACGGAATCGCGTAATTTCCAGCCCTGGGGACTTAGGCAAAAATGAAATAAATTTAGAACAAAATAATTACAGGGATGAACGTTACAGTTAATTAATTGACTTTCGAAAATCCCCAGTTACCAAATATAAACATTCCTCGTGCAACCTTTCACAAACTGGTGTGGACTAAGCTCTACACACATCGAGACGCACAGACACACAGACACACAAACACTGCATTTGATAACAACAGCAACAACATTTCGATTTAAAGCTTTCGTGACTGCAGGGATTTATCTTCTTGGTTCTTTCGGTAAAGTCACGTAGAATGGAAATAATAAAATAATACAAATAATAAATAATGCAATTAAAACATAATAAAATAATTCTCACGACGTCGTAAGAATTATTTTATTATTCTTATTTTTATTATTTTATTATTTCCATTCTACGTGACTTTACCGAAATAATCAAGAAGAGCAACAACATTTGCTTACCCGGTGGAAGCGTCCGGTGAGCCTTAAGCCATCTTTTGAAAAAAGGTTGGTTTTTCGTTTTTTTTTTATATATTACGGACTTGTCATTCCACTGCTGGATGAATGCCTCTGCGCAACGTTGGTCATGGAGCGGTTGAAGGGGTTTCTTAACCATACCTCACCCTATGGGGGCAAGGATACGCTCAGATCACTCGCCACGGATGTTCGCCCTGACTGGGAATGGAATCGAACTCAGGTAGACAACTTGATAGCGACCTACAATCGCCTGAACGCCTCCTCTCGGCACGACCCTCTGGGATTATATACTAAACTATTTGTTTTTATTTTACCAGGTAAGGCCCACTGAACTATGCAGTTCTTTGTTCAGAAGCGAGCTGGCTGTCACAAATCATAGCTCAACCAAGTGGCTTATCACGTGGACGTTTACAGCAGTGGCCAAATACGCACGTGGATTATAAATGTGGGGGGAGCGGAGGGGCATGGGGAGAAATCCACGCGACCACGAGGAGAGAGAGACACGCAGACCTCAAATATACAGCAGCAGGCGTCAGGGTTGGGATCGAACCCACGACCTCCTGCATACCAGGCGAGGTAGTTAACATCTCATAGCCACCGTGATGATGATGCGAGAGAGAGACACGCAAACTCGAAATATACAGCAGCAGGCGTCAGGATCGGGATCGAACCCACGATCTCCTGCATACCAGGCGAGGTAGTTAACATCTCATAGCCACCGTGATGATGATGCGAGAGAGAGACACGCAGACCTCAAATATACAGCAGCAGGCGTTAGGGTCGGGATCGGGATCGAACCCACGACCTCCTGCATACCAGGAGAGGGAGTTAACATCTCGCCACCTCGGCACCCCAGATATTCTGGAGCCCCAGAGCTGTAACCGTGAATAAGTGCATCCGTCTCAGCTGCACCCCCCACCCACTCATCAGCCCCGCCCCCCACCACCCACGAACCCCCCCCCCACCCCACCCACACTCTGGCTGTGATGACATTTTATAAATGAAGCAGGCGTGATATTTAGAAACGCGAATGTTCAATTTACTCGCCTATCGCGTTCGATGAACGGATAGCCGGTGGAGCGATACAGATATAGATAGATACACACACAAGACAAAGATCCCCCGTATAGCCTTAACAGACTGTAAGGGCAAGTGCTGTTAGCGAGCACCTATGAAGGCCGGAACGGCACACGAGGGGGTGGGTGGCCAGCACCATGCCCGGCCGCCTTTGTCTCCCCAGTCACTATGCTTACACATCGCACCAGGTACTCATTTGAGGCTGAGTCTACCTTGGGGAGGCCCAGTGCCGGTTTAGATAATCGTCACTGGTGTTGGCCGTGAGCGGGAATCGAACCCGGGTCGCCGGGTTCATAGCGCAGCGCGCTAACCGCTACACTACCGAGCTGGTAGGAACGTTGGGTTGCTCGGTCAATGGCCTGCAGGGTCAACGGCGGCGTGGTGTATTCCGCAAATATGGCCGACTGTGAGGGCGGGCACAAGCCAGCGTGTGTAGGTTAAACGTTGAGTTTCATAAGGGCACCACGGGGTGACCAGCCCCTCCCCACCAGCCCCACCCCTCCAAACTCCCACCCAGCCCCTCCCCACCCTCCCCACCCAGCCCCTCCCCACCCAGCCCCTCCCCACCCAGCCCCTCCTCACCCTCCCCTCTCCACCCAGCCCCACCCCTCCCATTTTTTGATGGACGACGGACGGACGGACACAATAATCCCCTGTGGGCTGGTGTAACCAGGACGTTCCTACCAGTAACATCTCCGGTATAGCCTTAACATACTTTTAGGGCACGTGTTGTTAGCGAGCACCTCCAAAAGACACACACACATATACATGTACTGGTACAAGTACACACACACACCTCAAGTCTGAAGATGCTCTTACAGGAGGGTGTTGCATTGCGATGTTTGGCCAATTCCACGTTAAAATAACGTGTTGATGGCTTCCAGTGGCAGGACAGCTGGAGACTAAGGAGAAAACCCATCACGCTGCACAGATGGGCACACGATGCCACTTGCTGGACTGCCAGAAGCCTTCTATGTTCCAGCTGCTTCTCACTCTGTCTCTCACTGTGTTTCTTTCTCTCCTCCCCTCACCACCTCCACCTCATCCGCTCGCCCTCCTCACCTCTCACCAACACAACCGCTCCCCAACCCCATACATCCACCAATCCCCAACTCCCAAGAAACCCTCCAACTGCCCCTCAAAATCATAGAACGCTCTCACCCCTCACCAACCTTGCCCCGCCCCCCTTCACCAACCGCCCCCCACAAATCCCAACTCTCCTCGTGACCACCCCCCTCCCCCCCCATTAAAAAACATCATCCAACACACTCACCTCCCAATCCTCACCAAGGCCCTTCCTCCCCCCCTCATCTCTCCAACCCCCCCGAAATCTTCCACGGTACCCCCCCGCCCCCTCGTGCCCCCCGCCCCCTCGTACCCACCGTCCCCCGCCCCCTCGTGCCCCCCGCCCCTCCCCACTCCGTGCCCCCCCCCCAACCCCCACCCCCCACCTCAACCTCAGGCCACGGCTCGCACGGCGCCACGGAGCTGCTATGGACGTGGCGGCGTTTGGGCTGGGGGGTGCGGGGCCCCCCCGCGCGAGAGGAGGAACGCCTGGCGGCGACGTTTGCGCGCGCGCTCCTGCCGCACACGATGCTCACCGCGCTGCAGATCGTCACGCTGGCGCTGGGCGCCTCGCCGCTCACCAACACGCGCGCCGTGCAGGTGAGCGCAGCGCCCGCGGCGGTGGCGGTGGCGGCGGCGGCGGCGGTGGCGGTGGCGGTGGCGGCAGCGGCCATGCCAAGTCTTCCCAGGCAGTCAAACCCACGTGACACCTGGGTGGTGTCCTGCACCTAGCCTGGCACATCAGTCAACCCATGGCACCTGGGTTTGTCCCGTGGCGTCCTGCACCTAGCCTGGCACAGCAGTCAACCCATGGCACCTGGGTCTATCCCGTGGCGTCCTGCACCTAGTCTGGCACAGCAGTCAACCCATGGCACCTGGGTTTGTCCTGTGACTTTTTGCACCTAGCCTGGCACAGCAGTCAACCCATGCAACCTGGGTTTGTCCCGTGACTTCTTGCACCTAGCCTGGCACAGCAGTCAACCCATGGCACCTGGGTTTGTCCCGTGACTTCCTGCACCTAGCCTGGCACAGCAGTCAACCCATGGCACCTGGGTTTGTCCCGTGGCCTCCTGCACCTAGCCTGGCACAGCAGTCAACCCATGGCACCTGGGTCTGTCATGTCACCTCCTGCACCTAGCCTGGCACAGCAGTCAACCCATGGCACTTGGGTCTGTCATGTCACTTCCTGCACCTAGCCTGGAACAGCAGTCAACCCATGGCACCTGGGTCTGTCTTATGATCTGCTGCCAGCAGCGAGCCTTCGACACTGCACGTGGCCTCAAAGTCCACCTAGCCTGGCACAAGCGCTGTTGGTGGACCTCACCAGCACTAAAGGGGCGAATGCTGGCTTCTGTGTTTGTTGTTGGTGTCTACGCACGTGACCTGCAATCCAGCAGGCAGTAGCAGCGAGGGTTTGTAAATCGCTGCACAGATGTGTGAAAAAGAGCTTTATAGCTCATCGGATTCTCCAGTATGAATACATATTCCGATTACGAGATTGTGTAACCCTGGGCTCGCCCTCAGTATGCAGTACAGCAAAGTGTGGACCCGTTTTGTCTGATGGGATAGAACGTTGCCCCCTCGCACGCACGCGGGTTTTCGTCGGGCGCCTCCGGTCTTCCCTCACATGTAGCATCAAACACTCGCCGCTAATCGGTGGAAAGCATCTTAATAAATAGAGGACCGCAGAGCAACCGATGGGAGCGCCGGACGCCCACAGGCTTCCGGCTCGGTCCGTGGTTTCTGAGCAGCGGTTGTGAGAGATTCAATTCGCATGAACGGACGGACGGACGACGACTCAAATATGTAAAAACGACCCCTTTAATGTTGTTGTTGTAGTTGTCGATGTTGTAGTTGTTGTTGATGTAGGTGTTGTTGTTGTTGATGTAGGTGTTGTTGATGTCGGTGTTGGTATTGATGGTGTTGATGTAGGTGTTGATGTAGATGTTGATGTTGTTGATGTAGGTGTTGTTGTTGTTGATGTAGGTGTTGATGTAGATGTTGATGTTGTTGATGTAGGTGTTGTTGTTGATGTCGGTGTTGATGGTGTTGATGTAGGTGTTGATGTTGTTGATGTAGGTGTTGTTGTTGATGTAGGTGTCGTTGTTGTTGTTAATGTAGGTGTTGATGTTGTTGATGTAGGTGTCGGTGTTGATGTAGGTGTTGATGTTTTTGATGTCGGTGTTGTTGATGATGTAGGTGTTGATGTTGTTAATGTCGGTGTTGTTGATGATGTAGGTGTCGATGTTGTTGTTGTCGATGTCGCTGCAGGTTTTCTGTCGATGCGCCTGCACGGCCACTGCGCTCAGCTACTGCGCCTGTGTCACCTTCCTGGGCGCCTGCGTGGCTCTGGCCGGCAAGGTGCGCGCCCTGCCCCCGAGGTGCTGGCCCGTGCCGTCGGCCACCACCACCACCACGGCCACAGTGGCGGCAGCAGCGGCGGCCACCGCCGTGGTTGTGGCCGGAGGAGAGAGGGTGGCGACCGCGGCGGCAGTCGCCGCTGCCGCTTGCGGCGGCGTGGAGAGCACGGCACAGGTGAGATGGAGGTGACATGGATGGATGCAGGTGAGATGTAGAAGGTGAGATGGGTGGATGCAGGTGAGATGTAGAAGGCGAGATGGGTGGATGCAGGTGAGATGTAGGTGAGATGGAGGTGACATGGGTGGATGCAGGTGAGATGTAGAAGGTGAGATGGGTGGATGCAGGTGAGATGGATGGAGCTTGCGAGATGATATTTGGCCTTGGTAAGTGAGTGGTTAAGTGCGTGAGTGCTGTATATGGGTGGGTGACCGAGTGGATGAAAGGGTAGGGTGAGTAATCAGGCTGAATGAGTGGGTGGGTAGGTGAATGATTGAGTCGATGGGTGGATGGGTGAGTGGGATGAATTGGCTAGTGGGTGAGTAAATGGGTGAGTAAATGGGTGAGTGAGTGAATGGATGTGCGAGTGGTTGGATGGGCGAGCGGAGTGGACGGGCGAGTGTCCGACGTGACACCGCGTGGCTCGCAGGACCTCAAGCCGCCGCGCCGCATCTGCGAGCAACCGGACCTCATCAGCTCCAAGGAGCCGCCCTGCTCCACCGCTACCACCAACACCACCAACACCACCAACACCACCAACACCGCCTCCACCGCCGCCGCCACCACCACCGCCGCCGCCACAACGTCCGGCCCGCACCCGCCGGACGCGTCCCCCCGCCGCTTCATGCGCGACCGCTACGGCCCGTGGATCAGCGGCACGTACGTGAAGCCCTTCGTGGTGCTGCTCTACCTCGTCTACGCCTCCTTCTCCTTCATGGGCTGCCTCCAGCTGAGGGAGGCCTCCGACCTCACGCACCTGGTGGCCACGCGCTCCGCCACGGCGCGCTACCGGGCGGTGCAGGACCGCTTCTTCAGCGACTACAGCCCCGTCATCGGATTCTACATCTACGAGCCGGTGGCCTACTGGAACGCGAGCGTGCAGGAGGACCTGCTGGACATCACCCGGCGCTTCATCACCGTCTCGTGGCTCGAGCAGTACACGCGCTACCTGCGCGCCGCCAACGGCACGAGCGCGCTGCCCCGCGACCTCTTCGTGTCGACGCTGTGCGCCTCGTTCCTGCGCCGCCGCGAGTTCGCGCACTTCGCCGACGACGTGGTGCTCGCGGGCCCGCCGGGCGAGCGGCGCATCGCCGCCTCGCGCGTCTTCATGGTGGCCAAGACGAACGAGAACACGCGCGAGGAGATCGACGGCCTCCTCGAGGCCCTGCGCAAGCTGTCGCTCACCTCGCGCGTCAAGTTCACCATCCACAACCCGGCCTTCGCCTTCCTCGAGCGATACGCCCTCTGGGTGGGCGCCCCCGCGCACTGCCGCCGCCCTCGCGGCCGCCCTCGCCCTCTTCCTGTCGGCGGGGCTGGCGCCGCCGGGGGCCGCGCCGGCCCACGCCTGGGTGGCCCTCTGCGCCGCCTCCGTCCAGTTCGGCGTGCTGGGCTCGCTGGGCCTGGTGGGCGCGCAGCTCGACTGTGCCGCCGCGCTGTGCCTCGTCTACTCGCTGTGCTACGGCGCCCACGCCTGCGCGCCCCTCGTGGCCACCTTCGCCATGGGACGCGGCAAGAGCCGGGCCCACTGGACCGCGGCGGCCCTCGACGCCCACGCGGCGCCGCTGCTCCACGCGTGCCTCTGGTTCTGCGCCGCCGTCGCAGCGTTGGCGGCCGCGCCCTCCAACCTGGCCCGGACCGTGGCACGGTGCCTGGGCCTCGCGTCCGCGCTCTCCGCGGTCCACTGCCTCGTCTTCCTGCCCGTGTTCCTCACCATCTGCCCGCCCTCCAAGGCGGTGAAGCGGCGGCGGGCGGCCGACGGGGAGGCGGAAGAGGGCGACGCCGCGGGGGGGGCTGCCGACGGCGCGGTGGACCAAGCGACGTCCGTGTAGGTGACCGCGCCGAGGAGCTGGCGCCGTGCAGGCGGCGGGCCGGAGGAGGGCCGGGGGAGAGGCGGCAGCCCCTCCGGGGTGCCCCTCCCGGCGGGGGTCGCCGCACCGAGCGCGGAGGGGCACGCCGGCGCTTTGGGCCCCCTGGCTGCCAAATAGCCTGGCTACGGCGCCAGGCAAAGGTAAAAGGAGCAGGCCTTGAAATTGCTCGCTAGCGTCGATACCTGGCCGAATGGAAGGAGCCCCACTTGGACGGAGCTTAGGAGAGCCACTCGACAAGGGGTGTTTTGGCCTACTCTTCCATGCCGGCCGGCACCTCTTGGAAGGGAGCGAGGGTACAGCGCTCTCCGATGAGCGCGCCGAATTTGTGCCGCCCGCTTCGTTCGGCGCGGCGTCCGACGTTCCGCTCCGCACGCTGGTACCCTCGGGCAGGAGCTAAATTCAGGAGCAGGGCTTAATTGCTCTCACCGAGTATCCTTCGCTATGTGGGCTACGGTGGGTGACCCACGTGACCAGGAGCCACAACCCATCGCGAGAGGTACGATTGATGTGGCGAGCCGGGCGTGGAAATTAAGCCCAGGGTGCAAGCAGTCGTGACTCGGTCGTGATCCGATCGTAACTTACGAGCGACTTTGTAGTAACTGGGTCCGCCGCTGGGTACAGAAGGCGACGTGGTTTGGGAACATCAAGGGAAGGGACCCGGGTTGGAATGGATATCCAAGTTCTCCCACCTCTCAGGTCGCAAACCCATAACCGCGTCTGTCTTGGAGTCTCGGTGTGGGTGACCTTAGGTGGGGCGTGTGCGCTTGGAGAAGCAAGGGGTTGGTAGATCACGCAGGGATCTGTGTTTAAAAAAATAAAATCGCTAAACCCGCTGGGCTATTGCTGCGAGGTGGCCATGGGATGGCAGTACAGCAAGTGGGTTGTTTCCACGGGTGTATGTCGATGTGTGTGCGTATTTGTGTGTGTGTGTATGTGGGGAGCGGTATTATAGTGGTTAGTGCGCTGCGCTATGAATCCGGAGACCCGGGTTCGATTCCCGCTCAGCGGCCAACACCGGTGACGATAATTATCTGAACCAGTCCGGGGTCTCCCCTAGGTCGACTCAGCCTCACATGAGTACCTGGTACGGTGTGTAAACATCGCCACTGGGGAGACAAACGCGGTCGGGCGTGGTGCTGGCCACCCACCCCCTCATGTACCGTTCCGGCCGTCATAGGTGCTCACTAACAGCACTTGCCCCTACAGTCTGTTAAGGCTATACGGGGAAACTCTGTATTTTTTGTGTATGTGTGTGTGTGTATATATGTGTGTGTGTATCTATGTGTGTGTGTATGTGTGTGTACGCGTGGTGGGTTTTCTCCCGGGTCTCTCCCGTTTCTTACGGCACGACGCCAAATACGAATTATTTAATGGCATTGATGATTATTGGCCAAACATTCGGCGAGAACAGGAGCCCTCTCTTGCCAAACGAGTCTTGATCCTCAGCGCGGCATTTCTGGAAAAAAAAGAAAGCCAAAAAGTGCCAAATTTGATCAATTACTCGCAATTGTATGCACGTCGAATGTATGTATATGTTGACATTATTTTGCAACCGTACATACCCAACCGTGCTATATCGGAGTTGCGCGGGGGGGGGGGGTAATTGTTTTTTTAAATCTAGAAATTCAACCATATCGGCAGAACGAGGCTAGTTTACATCTTGTGACGCGTAGGGACAGCTGCCACTGGGGGCGGGGGGGGGTCCCCTTAGGCCAGACCGCGTGCCACGGGGCCATTGGAGTTGGTCGAGACGAGCCGCGATTGCCGTCGAGGAATTTTAAACCGCACGCAAATTTCAAACCCTGGCAGTCAAACGAATAAAATGACTTAAATTTCGATTTAAAGCTTTCGTGACTGCAGGGGATTCATCTTCTTGGTTTTTTCGGTAAAGTCACGTGACTTTATCGAAATAACCAAGAAGAAAAAAATGACGTACGCACAAACACCGTAAACACGTGACATGGGTGCGTTTACATTACATGACGGTCACAACGAGGAACGGATTCGGGGGGAAAAAAACTACGACCGCCGGATTCAGAGGGTGGAGGGACACAACGTGGTACAACGTGGTACACACCCCGATGTGTCCTTGAGCATACAATATTCATGTTTCGGTTCATTGGTGGACAATGACAGTGACGACTTCGCTGCAGAGGGGGGGGGGGGTCAGGGGGGAGGGTGAGAGATTGGCAAAGTCTCAAGAGGGCAGAGGATGAGATTTGTATCGGCCCGTGGGTCTCGATTAAACGAGTTCAGGCAACCCCCCCACCCCCCAGTACCACGTGACTCCGAATTAAATGTGAGGTCTCCCATGGGGCAGTGCGGGTGCGAGAGTCAATTAATAAGTATAATTATTTAATTACACAAAGGGTCACCTCCCTCTCCGTGGCTCTCCCCCTCTGTGATCCCTCTTCTCGTTTTAGCTGATCAGACGAAACGTCGGTTCTGGTTTTTGAACATCGGTTCATTAATCACCCCCAGCCCGTTCCTACCCTTCATCCTCCCTCCCTCTCTCCCCCCGTCTCTTCCCCCCTCGTCATCATTCCTTCTCGCTCCCCCCGTCTATCCCCCCCCCCTATCTACCAATTCTCTATTTCCCCCTCTGTCCCCTACCACGCTCTCCCTCTCCTCCCCTCCCTCCACTCCTCCCTTTTCCCTTCTGTTCCCTCTCTCTCCCTGCCCCCTCCCCCCTCTTTCTTCCTCCTACCTCTCTTCCCCCCCTCTCTCCCCTCACTCGCCCCCTCCCTCCTCTCCCCCCTCTCTCTCTCGCCCTCCCTCTCTTCCCCCCCTCTCCCCCTCACTCGCCCCCTCCCCCCTCTCCCCCCTCTTTCTCTCTCTCCCCCTCCCTCTCTTTCCCCCCCCCCTCACTCGCCCCTCCCCCCTCTCCCCCCTCTCTCTCTCCCCCTCCCTCTCTTCCCCCCCTCTCCCCCTCACTCGCCCCCTCCCCCCTCTCCCCCCTCTTTCTCTCTCTCCCCCTCCCTCTCTTTCCCCCCCCTCACTCGCCCCTCCCCCCTCTCCCCCCTCTCTCTCTCCCCCTCCCTCTCTTCCCCCCCTCCTCACTTTCCCCCTCCCTCCTCTCCCCCTCACTCGCCCCCTCCCTCTCTCCCCCCTCTTTTTCTCCCCCTCCCTCTCTCACAGAGGTCACGCAATGTGAATCCTCGGATTACAATTAAGATAAATAATTTTCTCGACAATTATTTTTTTCCGGAACATTGCTCGGCTGCCTCGCCTGGAGGATTGATTAATCGGCATAAGGCACTACTACGAGAGTACAAGGTACGATTATCCATACAGATCCTCTAGTATTGCATTGCGTATTTCCTGTAATATTATGAGCAGGTTTATACAAACGATGAGCACAAGATCGGTCGAGGTGGATGTAAGTGGGAGTGCCACGGTGGTGAGATGTTAACTAACTCGCCTGGTATACAGGGGGTCGTGGGTTCGATCCCGACCCTGACGCCTGCTGGATATTTGGAGTTTGCGGTGTCTCTCTCCCCGTGGTCGCGTGGATTTTTCTCTGGGTTCTCCTCCGGTTTTCCGCTCCACATTTAGAAACAACGTCACGCGTTCAGAGTATTTGGCTGTTTTACATTTCTCCGTGATGATAAGCCGCTTTGGTGAGTTATCATTTGTGGCCAGATCGCTTCTGAATAAATAGTTCTATAGGTCTGTGGGCCTTAGCATGTAAAATAAAAACATTGTTAGTTTAAAATAACTCGGAACGGCATTCCGAACTATTCCTGATAACGTCACCGGACACAATCGCCGACACTTAATTCTCAAAACAATTATTCTAAGCAAAAAACGATTAATATTGAACCAGCAGTGGATTGAGAATGATGCTTAAGAACATGTGTGATACACGCCCCGTAGTTACGAGAGATGAGCCGATTCTTTGTGATGGTCTCGATTTAAAATGTAATGATAGTTTGCATAATTACAGGATCAAAATACAACTACTGCTACGACTGTAATCGTAATTTTGCCATATTCGCTGGATTGTAAAATACGCTTTGGAAAGTAAGACGCACCGAAAACGTGTACCCGGTGTCAGTAAACTAAAATACAAAGATCCCCCGTATAGCCTCAATAGACTGTTGGGGCAAGCGTTGTTAGCGAGCACCTATGAAGACCGACACGGCACACGAGGGGTGGGTGGCCGACGCCACACTCGACCGACTTTGTCTCCCTGGTGTCGATGTTTACACACCGCACCAGGCACTCATTGGAGGCCGAGTCGGCCTAGGGGAGGAACGGTTCAGATAATCGTCACCGGTGTTGGTGGCCGTGAGCGGGAATTTAATTCGGGGTCGCCGGGTTCGCAGCGCTGTGCGCGTGAGCTGCTGCGTCACCGCTCCCCACTGACACACACGCACACACTGACACACACATACTGACACACACACACTGACACACACACACTGACACACACACACTGACACACACACACTGACACACGCACTGACACACGCACACACACTGACACACACACACACACTGACACACACACACACTGACACACACACACACTGACACACACTGACACACACGTACACACTGACACACACACACTGACACACACACACGTACACACACTGACACACACACACTGACACACACACTGACACACACACACTGACACACACACACACTGACACACACACACACGTCTCCCGGATTCTAAGACGCACCCCAACCTTGTGCACTGTCATAATAATTGACGTTAATATTCGCGCTCGCCACCGCCCATCGCCGTCTCAGCGGGCATTGTTTTTTTCAAGGGGCACCCCCAGCGGCAGCTGTGTCGACGATTTGATGCCGTGCATGACCCCCAATTAAAATTCAGGGCACCAAAAAGTGAACTGCGGCGTCGTACGATCCGCAGACATACGGTACGTGTTGTGTGCTGTACATAGATGTTTGGTAGCGATGGGGTCTAAGTACGGCAAGTCCTCATTTAATGCGGTAGATGCGTTCCTGAAAATTGGCGCATTGAGCAACAAAAAAAGAAACGCGTTAGGCGAGAAAAAAAAATCCCAATGAATAATATAACGTAACGCTAAAGATACGATGTACTACTACGCACACGCAGTGAGGTGGCGGGACGAAGAACGGAGCGTACGCCGCCGCTTTACTCTATCGCGCTGCGTACCGTATCGCGCCGCTCATCCGCGCAGATCAAGAAAGTAGTTCGTCGCTGACCACTCAGAAACCGCGTTATAACGGGCGCGTTGTGCGAAGTTTGCCCTAGTGGGAGAACCGCGGTACAGCGTGAACAGCGCGCATTAAGCGAGGACTATCCTTACGTATTGATGATTGGGTCTGTGTGTGAGTATTGCAGTCTGTGTGGCGTATTGAAGTCTGTGTGTGAGTATTGCGGTCTGTGTGTGAGTATTGTAGTCTGTGTGTGAATATTGCAGTCTGTGTGGAGTATTGCGGTCTGTGTGTGAGTATTGTAGTCTGTGTGTGAGTATTGTGGTCTGTGTGAATATTGCAGTCTGTGTGGAGTATTGAAGTCTGTGTGTGAGTATTGCAGTCTGTGTGAGTATTGCTCTAACTGAGTGTGCTGTACTTTTATACGACGGCTTTACCCAAGAGCCCAGTCCTCGCGGCCCACAACGCCCCAGTAAACGCGTGCTAACATTGGGCGAACGTTGACGTGTGGCTCGAAACGTTGGACCAACGACTGACGTAACGTTCACAGGTTTACTGGGACGGCACCGCACGCAATTGCCTTGTTTACCGATCTCATGATTTCAATTGCGAGTTAGGTCTAGGCACACTGCACGCACCTGATGATTGGTAAACGCGCCCCCCCCCCCCCCCCCCATGGCATTGAGAGCTGCTCACACCACCGCAATCGTGAACCTTTCCAGAATTCATTGGGTGCTGCTCCCTAACAACACTTGCCCCAAAAGGTCCGTTGAGGCTATATGGGGGAGAGGGGGGGCCTTTGTCTTTGTGTGCGGAGAGATGTCGTGCAGTGGTCACGAACACAGCGTTCGGATTCCGGATCGCGACCGATAACAGCGGCGAACATTTGAAGCGATCCCGTTCACACCCCCCCCGGTTAGGTCGACTCAGCCTTTAACGAGCACCTGGCTGCTGAAACACTGGGGATACAAAGGCAGCCGCGGGCAGGGTGTTCACCACCCATACTCCCAGCTCGGTGTGCTTCGCCGGTGATCACGGTGCGTCATCGCTAACAGAATCAGGCGCGTGAAGCGTCGATCACCTTTTTGCTCGGGGACAATAGCGATAGAAGGACAGCCGTGGAAAGGAACCGCAGGACCTGGAGGAGTTGGGTTCAACACCGGGTCCGAGAACGCCTTTCGTAACTTTCGCCAGCAATATCAGATCGCCACTGCTGCTCAGGTAACGGAACGGATCATTGTTTTGCCAGCCAGGCCATCGTCGTCATCATCATCATCACTGCGACGATCTTGAGGTGGATAAACACGGGCGGTAGCGATTCATTGGCCTAATATGGGCGAATGCGGGCTAGTGACTACTGGACAATCTGTGAGAAAAAAGCTTCATAGCTCATCGGATTCCTCCAGTATCAATACATATTCGGATTCGTCTAAATTACGCCCATAGGTAGTGGTGATGGTGG